CCTAAGTCCAGCGATTCGCCCAGCACTGATGTGATAAATTGTTTTCCACCTTCTTCTTGGTCGTCGTCTTTGACCGTGTCAGCGCTGAGATCTTCCTGGCGGTCGCCTGTCATAAGGCATTACGTTCCGCATTAGTTTCGCAAGGCGGCTATCATTCATTCGCTGACAAAAGATAATGATAAAGATAGTATACAAATTTGTGTAGAACGTAACAATAATAGAATCATGAATAATCTCTGATTCGTACATACAGTCAATCAATTGTCCTGATAATGATATATGCAATGATATGTAAAAGACAGTGATCAGGCAGTTGTCACCATAGCAAGAACTGAATACGTTTAGCAAGTGTAAACGTTACCAGTTTATGTAGTGGCAAGTGTAGGTTTCTGCTCCTGACGCATCGATCATTTGCGACTGCTGAAGAAGGACGGTTCGTATGATCCTGGGAACGTCGATCGTTACTAAAACACTTGCTAAAAGTCTATGTTTCCGATATTCATGCCATACATACTGTATCGCGAAAGACTTTCTAATACATCAATGTAGATGAAGACTTTCTGAAGGAGACGAGACGGTCTTATGATAAGCTTTTCCTGCTCGTACACAGAAAAGTTTCGCAGCTCACTGAAAAAACAAATAATAATTAATAATGTATAAGTGAATTCACTTTCAGAATGTTGAGATAGATATTATCGCGGTTGAGATAGATATTATTGGCGGTACATTAACATTTGCCCCTCTGGGCAATTGCTGAGAAGCAGAACGCAGTGACCACCAGCCGAAGTAGCAATATGAGTGCACGACTTCTGAACACAATTTTCTCAAGCTGTGAGGGCAGTAGCTTCATGACTTTCCACAAGGGTCCCGATTTTCTGGTAGTGGACGTATCCTCGCAAATGAATTCGAAGAAACGGTCACTCCAAGTACTTAAAATATACCGGGCCATCCGACTGAAGATCTGCAGATTCCTATAGTTACTCAGTGACTATAACGTCGGACTCACAATCGATACCCTGAATTCGTGTCAAAGTTTGGTCCGAAAAGGAAACCGGAGACTACATGCTAAAATTGTCGCCAAACTGCAGACATAGCCTTAATAAACAACAGGAACAAGCAGCTGTTAGCTATAGCAGAGGCAGCATAGTATTCTGGTCTGGTCATTCCAGAATGGATCGGGCATACGTAGATTCTGTCTGATGTGAGAGCTCCTTGTAGCTGCACTTTTGAATGATTCACCTGGTAGTTGCCTATCCAGTATAATGATTAGCACAAGGTATAACCCTGACATGAATTTCGAAACCATCATACTTTGTAATCAATAAAAACATCACTTCAGTGAAATATTTAGTTGTAAGCACTGAAGGTCAGAGGCACCTCAGTGCGCTGCTCTCACTCCGCCAAAGATTTAAATTATGTACTGAATATCCGTTTGCTTAACATACAAAATAGGTTACCTGTTGATGAAATTTTCCATTTCAACAATCAAGTAGGTCCGCGGATAGAATATATAACCCCACACTGCTATTTCATCGTAATAGTCGATTGAATGGCAAGTCTGCGTGAGGGCGAAATGCAACATATCAATTCTGCAATCATAAAATCGTTTACAGAAACACTGTCAAAAAAATATTTTCAGCGAAAGTAACAAAGCATTTTAACTCTGACGATGAAGCATGGTCTTGTGTGGCGAAACGGGTGAATTTATATTTAATTTTATTAAAAAATATACTTAAAATAATACATTGAAAGATGTGTTATTCCATTTATTGTTCAAATGGCTCAATAAAGATTCAAACTGATTGCACGGCCACAGTTCAATCCGAGGCAAGATTTGCAGCACTCTTGCGCATCATCACTGAGGTAGGCAATTCGTTGAATAGCCTACTTCAATCTTTGTGAGTAGCGAACCTCTCATCTGCAGAAGAGTGAGGCTAATAATAATCAAAGATGCGCCAGTTCTCCGGCTCGTTGGCATTTCAGTGTCACTTATACATAGAGCCGCGACCAGAAAAGAGACATTCGAGTACAACTTTTAGCAAGAAACGTACAATCATGAATACTCATTGACACCCTAACATTGAAGAACACTGTAAAAGGAG